AAGAAGGAAAGAGAAAAGCAAACTAAACAAAACTAAACAACAAACAAAACGGGTGCTGTGCCTTAGCAGCAGTTCTCTCTTCGTTTCTGAAGCCCTAAGTAGGCCTGTGAGCCCAGGGTAGACACATTGCTTGCCTGATATCTACCACAGTGCCTGCCTGCCCCGGGAAGGGTACAATTTAGGCAGGGCTAAGACAGCTCCAGAAGGATGCAGGCGAGAGGGGCATACATACACTAAAGACAGCTGCTGGGGTCAGGTGGTGAGGAGGGGTTGTGTCATGGGCAACAGAGCAAGCCTCATACTTCTTGCCAGGATCCCTACAACAATGATGACCTATGCACGTTGGCTCTCCATGGCCTGGACATCCCGCCACCCACTGGGCCTGTCTGGGTCCTGGGTGCCAGCTTCATCCGCAAGTTCTACACAGAGTTTGATCGACATAACAATCGCATTGGGTTTGCCTTGGCCCGCTAAGGCCCTCTGTTACCCAGTGACCCTAGTTTCTGGCCAAGGCAAAGATGGTGCTCCTGAGGGCTTAACCTCCACCCAGGGACACTGGACACAGCTCCCGAGGAGTGCCTGCCCCCTCGCCTGCACTCACCTGTCTCTGCTTTGAGGAAAGACAATAAAGACTTCATGTTACAACCTGTGTCAGGTTGATTCTTTGGAGTTTGGAGCAAAAGGAGGGACAGTCGTGTGCGGAAGACACACATGACCAACGGGGCTGTGGTATGGCTTTGTCAGTTAAGTGTGAGCGCCTGAGTTCGATCCCAGAACCACATAAAGCAAAACAACAACAACAAAACAAACAGACAAGCCAAAAACAGGCATGATGATGCAACCAGGAGGACAGAGACAAGCTGATCCCCAGGGTTTGGCACCTGAGGAATTATAGCTGAAGTTGTCCTTTGACCTCTACACACAAACACACAGAGAAACAGAGAGACAGATAGACAGACACAAGCACAGAGACACACAGAGAGAGCCAGAGAGAGAGGGACAATGTAACAAAACAGATACCACTCCCACATGCTTTTGCATATAAGGTCAATGCCTTCCATCTATTGTCAACAGGATTCACGTATAGCTTGTTCATACAGCAACCTTGGTTGGGGAGCTTGCAAAGAGAGAGGCTGCATGTTCCTTTAGGGCAACTGGGAAAAAACCCTTAGGGCTATGGCAGTAGAGTGTAGGTAAACATACTGGCTAGTTTTTCGTCAACTTGACACAAGCGAAAGTCATCTGAGATGAGGAAACCTCAATTAAGAAAATACCTCCTTAGGAGGGAGCCACAGGTAAGCCTGTAGGAAATTTTCTTAATTAGTGATTGATGAGAGAGGGCCCAGCCCAATGTGGGTGGGGCCGGGTTCTATAACATAGCAGGCTGAACGAGTCAGAAGGAACGAGTCAGAGGGAGCAAGCCAGTAAGTAGCACTCTTTCATGGTCCCTGCATCAGCTCCCGCCTCCAGGTTCCTGCTCTGCTTGAGCTCCTGTCTTGACTTCCTTTGATGAGCTGAGATGTGGAAGTGTAACTCAAATAAACCCTTTCCTCCCAAGTTGCTTGATCATGGTGTTACATCGCAGCAAGATAGACCCTGACTAAGAGAGCCAGAAAGATGCTTGGAGCTCACAGAATCCAGTACTGATCCCAGGCTCTGTGCTGCTGAGAGATTCGACCTTAGTATGGAGTTCCCTGAGAAACTCCTCTCAGCTTGCTCTGCACCCTCTATACGCCCCTCCCCCACGTGACCATTTCCACAGGCCATCTAAGTCATCACCAACTAAGAACACAGGACTTCAGACCTCCAACAACCCTACCTTACATGTGATAAATATATAGACAGAAAAAGGCATTTGCCCAAGATCACCTGGTGAAGAATTGAGCAGCAAAGAATCCTGAAAAACTAGCCTAGAACCCAGTCAAGCTGGCTTCCTTAGGGCCTAGGGACTTCCACCTCAATTCCATGTGAGCGAGTGGGGCTGGCGCAGGGACAGAACTTCAGACACCTTGGGTTGGGTCAGGTTCACACACAGGCCTGAGGACACCACAGGCTGATGGCTTTTCTCCCACTCACCCCTCCACTGCCGGCTGTGTAGCTTAGGGGATGAGAAAGCAGCCTCTACCTGTAGCTTCTCATCCCTCTGTTGACCAAAAAGTATAACACACTGGGTATCAACGAAGCCCTTGGTGTCTGGATTTCACTCTCCTAGGGTTAAGGGTCCCAGGGCTTCTCTGAGGTGGTATTTGTATAGCAGAGCTGTTTGCAAAGTCCTGGCAGAGAGCTGAGAACAAGAGCCTGGACTTCCACTGTTTGTGATCCCTTGCCCAGCATGGTTTTCTTTGCCTATTGCAAAAGAAAGAGCTGGAGGCAATGTCCTTTCCAATTCTGGTATCCTGGGGCTTCATGACCTCAAGCAGACGATCCTTCCTCTATCATCTGCTACAATGTCCAGTATAGTGGCTACAAATGGCTATTTACATCCTTATTAAGATTAAAGTTATGCAAAATGCCACAGCAGTCGCATTTCAAGTGCTGACTAGCCCCACGTGGGCTAGTGCCCACCATAAGAGGCATCAGCATAGAAATTGTACCAGAAGACCTAGGTTCTGGGCAGCAAGAATCAAAGGGCCTTGTGGTTGAGAGGTTCCTGAATAGGTCAAAAGGACAACTTAGGGTCACAGAAAGTCCATTTGGGGGGCATTTTTCAAGTGCAGCAGTATGAGATGGTAAGCAATGAAAGGCAAGTCTGGGTTGTGCTACAGCAGGGGGCTAGCAGCGAATACAGTTTGCTCTGGAGGTGACCAGGGGAACATCTGGCTAAGAGAGGGGCTTTCCGAAGGCTGGCATTGCGTCTTTCTAAAAGTCTCTTCTCCACAGCAAGTCCGCCAGGATCTGTGCCATTAGCCACTCCACGCGCGCTTAGGCCCACAGGTTGTGCAAGGCTTTTGATCACCTCTTTGTTCAACAAAGCACTGGGCTACAGGCGCCTGTGTTCCTACTATGTGTGCCTGCTATGTGTGCCCAGTCAGCCTCTCAGGACAGGGAAAAAGATTTAAGGATTATTTAGGGAGTCACAATGTGCCCGTGTACTCATAAGATACTGAGGAATATTCAGTTAGAGTCTAGTCTGCCTACAGGACAGTCACACCCCAGCACCAAGTGGCTTTCCACACAGTGTGTGTGTGTGGTGGTGAGCGATGCCTGGAGGCCTTAGAGATGTAGCCCAACCTTTTCCAGGGGTTCAGGGTTTTGAGGGCAAACCAAAGCCCACACTTTGGGAGCAGTCAATCTCCATATTCCGGATAAGGTGGGGACAAAGATGAGCCCTACCCTGGGCTACCGGGAAAGAGCTGGCGAAGGGCTGTGGGTCCCAATGGGAAACCGGTCATCCCGCGCTAGGTTGCCCAAACAGGGACCTGGGGCGGGGCATTAGGAGGCCCCACCCTTTGCGTCATTGAGGCGGGGCATCACCCCCACCCAAAGCTCCAGGTAGCTACTGCCCTGGCTGCTGGAGACAACCCTATGCTCTCGCCCGGAGGAGGGGGCGGGGCGGGCAGGGGGCGTTGCTGTGGCCCGTGATGTCAGTGTCGCGGCGGACCCTGGCGATCCCAAGCCAGCTGTGTTGCGGGGCTGGGCGCCGGCGCTCGGAGCGGACGGCTCGCTCATGAGTCATGGACTTCCCCTGGCCCCTCCTCGACCACTCCCACTCCCTCTCAGGGCCCCCCCGTAGGAGCTAACGCGGGCGCGGCGGCTCCGAGGGGGTGGGGCTGCTGGGAATGGCTGTGCCCCCTTCGGCTCCAGTGCCGTGCTCGCTCTTTTACCTGCGGAGGCAGGCGCCTTGCCCGCAGTGCTCATGGGGCATGGAGGAGAAGGCGGCGGCCAGCGCCGGCTACTGGGAGCCACCAGGGCCCCCGAAGGCCGCCGTCCCGTGCTTCAGCGTCGCGGTGGATCAGGATGACATCCTCCCCGGTGCCTTGCGCCTCATCCGGGAGCTGCGGCCGCACTGGAAGCCCGAGCAAGTTAGGACCAAGGTAGCCGAGCGGGCGCGAGACCGGGGATGGGGCCCTGCCTGGGCTGCAGCGGGGCTGCGTGGACTCCCGTCAGTGCATCTTTCCGAGTGCTGGTCCCAGGGTTGCGCCGCTGTTGCGCAGGAAAGGTTTTGGACCGTGGTTTGTATATGTGTTTAGCTCTCCATCCCTTTTGATCCCTGTGCAAAGCTGGGTTCACGCTTTCCTGGACCCTCCGCACTCGCCTGTTCCAGGGGTTCCCAAAGCACGCAACCTGAGGTCGACCTGCCCACTGTCAGCATGCTGTGCGTGCGGCCCCACCCCCTGTCGCTGAGAGCTTGTCCCCTAGTTGCCCAGAAGTGCGTACTCAACCACTTTGAAACCCGAGGAGGCACGAACTTTTAAGGAAACCTCCCACTACACCCTGAGGGGCTGCTTCACCCTATCATGAGGTCTGAACCCCAGGAACCAGCCCTGTGGAATTCGGAATTCCAGTAAACACCTTCACCATGGCCTCAGGCTAGCTCTGAGCAACACTCCCCACCCCCACCCCCACCCCCACAGATTGTCTTCCCACCTCAGCTGGATTCATTCTCCCACACACACCTGTGGGCAAAGCTGCCCACCTTGGCCCCTACCTCACTCCCTAACCGTCCTGCATGCTCTTAAAAATGATCTTTACATCTCTCCAGCCACCCAGAGCCTGGGAAGCCTGCAAGAAGGCGCAGAGGGGTAGGGTTCCATGTCACAGACTTTCCTAGTGGGGAAGGCACAGCTCTGAGGAGAATCTGGGTTGAGTGTGGTAGCCGGGTTTTTTTTGTTTTTTTTTTTTTTGTTTGTTTTTTTCCAGAGGACCTAGTCAGGAGCAAGGCAGACCTGAGATTAAATTCAGCACTAGATAGCAGATGCTAATCCGTACTCTCACTAGGCCTGTTTCCTCACCCAGAGTGGGTTCAGGTGGCCTCCAAAGTCCCATCCAACAGTCATGTGGTGCTCATTAAACTTTAGCTCATGGTTCCTTCTTCCCTATCACCATGCCCAGAGGCTGTTCCCACTCTCTTGTCTCCTGTTTCTTTTGGTGTGGAATTCAGAGATTCAATGACCTCTGGCCACCAGAGCCCTGGGATGAGTGCCAACCTCAGTACCCTCCTTATCTCTCTGCCACTGGATGGAGCAAGAGATAAAGCTGAGAGCCCTTGCCTGCCTTGGTAAGAGGCAGCTGGTCAGGATGTCTCTCTGGGTGATTTCCAGCCTCCTTGGCCACACTCTCGCCTGTGGTGGATTCCTTCATGTTAGGATGGAGAAAGTGGAGAGGACTTCTACCCACTTACTACCTAGTGTGAACATGCGCACTCTGCCAAATCCCATGCCCTGGAGGCAGATCTAGGCTGAGTGAGTGTGCCTGGGCTCACTGTGGCTGCCACCACAGTGTTTCAGTTTACTCCAAGGCAGAGGATAGTGCTGGCTGGTGTGGGATTGTGTTCCGTTGTCAAATGTGCACACTCTGCTTTGATTGAAGCTCTGGGAAGAGAGCCGAGGAGTGTACCCCATCCTTCCACCCATAGCTCCCCTCTCCCCATGCTAGCGCTTCAAAGATGGCATCACCAACAAGCTA